GCTTTCATCCTGAAGAAGTTGTCAGGCTGGTCAAACATGAGGGGCAGTCCGACCAGGGGGACACCGTGGTAGATGGCCTCCTGGATTCCGTTGGTACCTCCGTGGGCCACAAACACTCTGGTCTTTGGGTGACCCAGGAGGTGTTTTTGAGGCAGCCAGTCCAAGAGTAAGGTGTTGTTGCCGAGGGTGGATGGTCTTTTGCCTTTGTGCTTCCAGATCACCTTCTGAGGAAGTTGGTGTCCTCAGGTTTTGCCACCAGGGATCCCAATGTCATAACGATGATGCCATGTTCACCAGAGCTCTGGACAAAGTCCTCTAGTTCTTTAGACAGGGGCTGGGAGGGTTTGCACTGAAATCCTGACATGTAGACGACGTTTGGCATTGTGGGTCGTGGGAACTCAAAGGTGAAATCGTTCCTCATCAGCCAGATGTCTGCTGCCTGAAACAGCTCCATGTAATGTATGTCATTTCCAAAGTAACGATGGACGAACGGTTTGTAGTTTAGTTCTGTGACATACCAACATTGAAAACAGGTGAAGAAATAGTAAAGTAAGTTCTTCACTCGTTCGGGAAACGTCATCTTGTCAGTCAGCTCTGCCCCTGATATTGGGACATATGAAAATGGGGAAGATGCAATCGCCTGATGCCCCTCACCCTGAATAGTCCACCTCACATTAAAGACAAGTGGAAGGCCCAACCGGTGACCCAGAAGCACCCCTGCACCAATCGCAGGGTCTGTCAGGAACACATCATATTTGGCATCGTGAAGGCTTTGCATCAGTTTGGTATTCTCAAACATCTCCCCCACCATCTGAATCACTTGCTTATTCATCTGATAGAACTGATCCACCAGTTCAAACTCCAGAGATATACGAGCCCAAAGTGAAGCACCTTTCCGCCGCATGTTAATCATTGTGTCTAGGAATTTACTGTGATGGACTTGTAGTGGGGGGACTCTGGCTTGATGTACCAGCTGTCTGATGACCTGTGATTTCGTGGCCTCTGGCATGAAGCTCCTCAACGAGGACTTTCATGTTGATCCAGTGGCTTCCATCCAAAGGGAACACCAAGACTTTCCCTCCATTTACTGAGAGTGAAGAGCAGAGCAGCACCGCAAGTGCCACCAAAGCCGGTCGGTACATCTCTGAAAGATATTCTGATAAGAGATGTAAGAATGTTAGAGCTGTCCTGATCATTAAGGCTTCACAGTTCTTCAGTTCAAGAGTATGGATCAACATCTGGAAGCTGGACTCATTTGCTAATTATGGTTAGTAGTGTATTAAATGATGTAACTGTTGCAGATGACCTGAACCTTAAGAAGAAATACCTTTTTTGATTAGATTATCTAATATAAAATATAATTGGATTAGAAGCAACATGCAGTTGCAGAACCATGTTTCATCCTAAATCTACAGTACCTTTAATTCTACATCCTTTCATTTTAGTCTGGAAAGCATCATCTGAGGATCAGAGGAGCCTGGCTTTTGGAAGTTGGGAATTTGCTAAGTTTGGTTGGTGGTAAGATAAATATGTAGAATAACTTCCAATGTTGAGGATCTTAGAGAGATAACAATCTGTGTTGTCTGCAAAAATGCTACCTAGAGTTCATGAGTTGTCCAGCTTCCAGATGACCGACTCCCAACATAAAATTTAGTTTTTTGCAGGTATACCTTCACATCCAAGAGGACTGTTCATAATACAAACAATCTTAAAAATAACTGAACATGTACTGTTAGTATTGCCAATCGAAAATAATGTTTTTGTCACCCCAGATTCTAATTTTGGTGAACTGTTTAGGAGAAGTTGGATGCAGGAGAAATCTTAGTTTCCAAAATGAGACACCTTCAAAAATCAAAAGCAAGATGATGTTTGTCAAAGGACGGAGGAACTTGTTGAATCAAGTGTATTGGGCTGGTTCTGTTTATAATGCATTGGATACGTGGACGTCCTCACATGCACAGATGGCGTGTACGGAACTTTTTTTGGCCAATACGTCCAAACTGGGACCTCTGCAGAAATGGTTAGAGATTCACGTCATGTAGATACTGGCGGCTATGCCAATAACAACGAACATATTTTAGCGCTTATTTGAAGCATAGTTTCTATTTGCACTCAGATAAGAATAGTCACATGGCAGCTATGAAGCAATTTACACCCAGCCAGGATGGATATGCCACTTTATTTAGCAACAGTTAGCTAGCCGAAAGGCTTTTATTTAGTAGTAACAGTAGAAGTATAAAGAGCAACAGAGTGTGTGTAGGTAGAAGGTTGTGGTGGATGAATGTGTCCAATTTAGGACTTTCATCCAGGAGACCAGGAGTAGAGTCCTGTGTTACACATAGTATTTGACTTATTATTTTCCGTGCTTTTTATCATTATTATTATTATTATTATTATTATTATTTTCAGCTTAGTTTAGTTAGATTTAGGCAACAAAACTTCTACTACATAGCCTACATATACACTTAGAGTATCTAATACATACTGTATTATTGTTGGCTTCAGGCACCTGGGGGCTAATATCATCTGCCTTTCCGAAATTACTTTTCAACTATCATCATCTTCCTGCAATCCAATAAGATACATGCCAAATGCTTCTGAGTCTCTCCACTTGACTTTGGGAGTAAGACTGCCAAGTGCCAGACAATGCAAAATAGCACCAGTACACATGGTTAATGACTATGGGTCGCTGTCATGAACAAATATCACCCTATTCACAGTTGATAGCACAGACTGTCTGTTTCAGTAGTGCAGCCAAAACGATGCAGATGCACATCACTACAAGACTTTCCACAAAGGATTTTCAGTCCCAAGACTTACTTAACTTCCAGATTTCCTGGTTACACAACCACTCAATGTGGGAAGTCCTGCCGCTTATTCCCAGGAGGTTTTTACAAAAGCGGTTTTGGATTTGGTCGATGTTCCCTCTCTTTGTTTCACAGCTTTATGTTCATGTACATGCTCCGCTCAGTAATGATAGGTGTCGAACGATAAAAGGGATTAAATAGCAGCTGCCTCTTGTTTGTACGAGGACAAAGGTCAAACAAGCTCTCACATCTTGTGCTAACAAGAACCACAACTGTTAGTAAAATGTTCAGCTTTAGCTTCACAGTGTTTCAAACATGATAAATAGTTTTGTGTCAGCAAAAGTCATTTTGACTCAGGTTCACTAAAGATCATACGTATGTACTACTTCCACTACTACTTGTATTATAAATAATTACGCTACTACAAAGATAATAATACACCTGGGTAAAGGTTTATAACACTACAGTACCTGGAGATCATGGACTTGGATTGATTTAGGCTCCTCTCTCAGATACAATTAAAACCATTAGATGTAAAGAACATTTTGAAACGATGCAATAAACGCAATAAAAAGCCAAGACTACATGTAATAAATGTACATGTTCTCTTTATAAATGAGAGAAAACCTCGCCCCTCTCATTCTGCAAACAGGAAACATGAGCTGATACGCATCTGTTCCCAACAATAACTCAATGCTCTTGCTTTAATTACAATTATTGTTTATTTTTCCTGTTGCCGTGAGTCTGCTCATCCATACCTCCAAACTGTGATGGTCTTCTCATAGTTAAATAGCTGAAGGGATGCCCTAGTAGCGAATGAGCAACATGAACCCAATAACAACAGCACGGAAACAGTAAAACGTTTTTGTTTTAGCTTTATATTAACGTACCACCATACTTTAGCCCGTAAAGCGTCTACTCTTTGACTTAAACACTTACCGATAGCGTCCCCAGTCAACAGATTTCATGCGTCAACACGAGCTGGTTGTTTGTGCGTCCAGCCTCCCTCACAGCAGCCGGCTAACTGAACCCCACCGACTCCCAGCTCTGAAGGTTAGAGCAGCTCTCGGAGGGTGCTGACGCTGAACAGAGTCCAGAGTGTGTGTGTGTGTGTGTGTGTGTGCTGTGCAGGTTGGTTACATGAAGGGGAGCTGAACCTAAACAGCCTCACGTGGCAAACTTGAACCTTGATAAGACCACAAGATGTAGTACTGAGATAAGAGTGACCTGTGGTGGCAGCTTGATATGGGACAAAGGCAAATGAACTCCATACTTTTTGTCCTTTTTGAGACACTTTGTTTTCTTTAAAACACAAAGGCAGCGATAATAACCATTGAATTTTAGCAGGTACAATACAACAAAAGGTAAAAGGTGTGATAAAAACTACCAGAGGAAACATTGATTTGATTACAATTATATGACATTGCACCTACATACAGAAGAGAGAGTCTTCTGAGTCATTAGGTTGTTGAGTCAGTGTGATTTAAAGGTCATGGCAGCAAGTAACCCAACAGCGTGCCCGTACCTGAACTACATAACCTCGTTATCTGACTTTAGAACAGTCGACAGGATCTTTCCCGAGACAAATGTATCACACATTAAAACAAATGTTTCACTCAGAAAAGATGTCGTGAGGGGAAAAACAAGGAAACTTTACCCGAGAACTAAATGTGATTTTTACATCAACCTCATTTAAAGGATACGGCACTTTATTTGTCTTTTGGGATTACTTAAAATATGTTTTAGCAGACGAGACTGAGGCACTGTTTTTTTTTCTGTTTTGTTGTCTGATGATGTCATCGATGTTATTAATAAACTTCCTATCCTCAGATGAGTCTGACAAATAGTATTCTTTTTTTTTCTTGAAAATATGTGACATGGAGATATTTGTTACTTTTGGGAATTGTATTTGTACCTACAGCTCCAATAATGAAAATACTTTTATTTATTTATAATATGGATTAAACCGCCACTGAAAATAGTCCCAACACAAATGCGCCATTTCCTCCTGCTTGTTTTAAGAGACTTTAAAAAAAAAGGAAATAATAATTTTAAGAAGAAGTAAGAACCTTTTTCTTATCTGTCTTTCTTGAACGCTGACTAACACCTTCATCATTCGATGGTTCGACTGAAACATGCTGTTGTTTCCAGCCTCAGAGTCCAGGAGCCCCGGAAGCAGCCGAGCAGCCAGCGTGGCTCCATCCCCGTCCCTCTCCAGGCGCTTGTATCCCGCCTCTCCAAACGGCACCCTCCGCCAACGGTGTACCGAGGGACCCCGACCTCATCGGAACCGGGACTTGCCGTCCTCTGATGACCTTGGAAGCTGCTACACGGAGCTGTACCCCCAGAGCTACGTGGAGAGGCTGCGGGTGGAGGACGGGTCGGCGGGCATCGATCCGCTGAGGGTGGAGGACGGGAACGTGTACCTGTCGCCGGTGGTGGAGACGGTCTCTTCTTTCAAACCGAGCAGGTACCAGTCGGCGCTGATGCTCACGGAGAACAAACCTTTGGAGGAGGGCGTCCTGCGGCGCGTGAAGGAGCTGCTGGCCGAGGTCGACCCCAGGACGGCTGCCAAACATATCACCAAGGCCGACTGCATGGTACTGTCTGAAGCTGCTTATGATTGCTGTAGTGGCTAAAATGACTATTTATAATGGGAAAGAGTAGCTCGTTGTGTTTTTACACCGAACTCTTTAGCCTCTTTAGCCTCACTTTATAGCCCAAAACACAACTGCTTTGATTCAGTCTCACCGCTTTCATCATTTCCAGGTGCAACCCACCAAATATAAAGCGACCTATTCAGGAGTAGACCAGAAAACATGTGTCTGTGTTTCCCAGGTGGCCAGAATTGTGGAGGTAACTCCGGAGGCGCAAAGGATGATGGGAGTCAGTTCTGGGATGGAGCTGCTCACGTTGCCACATGGCCAACAGCTGAGACTGGACCTGCTGGAGAGGTGAGTAAGGATTCAGAAATCCCGGACACTAAACCCCCCCCCCCCCTCCGAACCAAGATGGAACACTGTATTACTCCTTTTTAACCTTGACAAAGGCAGCGCAGGCCAATTTTGTGACTTTTCGTGAGAAGAGATCATAATTTACCTCCTAAAGTAATACAGGACGTTAGTGGCAGTCTCCTCACTGGTCACATGAGCTCAACTTTTAAAGTGTCTCCATCGTCCTGCAGGTTCCACACCATGGCGACCATGTTGGCTGTGGATGTGTTGGGCTGCACGGGGACGACGGAGGAGAGGGCCGGCCTGCTGCACAAGATCATTCAAATCGCAGCGGAGCTCAAGGGCACCACGGGCGACATGTTCGGCTTTGCCGCCGTCATGAGAGCGTTAGAGCTGCCGCAGGTGAGCATGCAGCGTACACACTGGAGTTCATTGATAGAGACAGACAGGAAACATGGGGGGGGGGAGAGAGAGAGAGAGAGAGAGAGATAGAATAGAGAGAGAGAGAGGTATATATCACACATGGCTTACCTTTATAACAGTAGAGGAAGAAACCCCTAACCCTCCTTTTTCAAGTTCTCCTCTTTTACAAAATCACATCAATGCATCCCCTGTGACTGGATTGATCTTTAATATATGTCAGCATTTATTCTGCTTCCTCAGCCCTCTCTGCCCTGTTACATTTCATGTAATTATATTACTTTGTTTTGTTTATTCCATGTCTGAATAAACACCTTATTTTAGGGATGACACTACAGGCGAAAAATATATTTTATGCACTGATCATTTATGATGTTTTGGTCTATTTTTCTTCCATAACATGTGTTCTGTCAGACGAGTGGACATAATAATGTTCTCTAAATGAGTTTGTTCTCAGACTCTGATCCAGAAATCTCCACTTCAGCAGCTCTTACATTCACCAAACTTTACACTTTCATTCCTCTCTGTGTGCTGAAGGTTCACACAGAGGGGTTT